AGAGAGAGAGAGAGAGAGAGAGAGAGAGAGAGAGGAGAGAGAGAGAGAGAGAGAGAGAAAGAGAGAGAGAAGAGGGAGAGAGAGAGAGAGAGAGAAGAGGAGAGAGAGAGAAGAGAGAGAGAGAGAGAGAGGGAAGAGAGAGAGAGAGAGATAGAGAAGAGAGAGAGAGAAGAGAGAGAAGAGAGAGAGAGAGGAGAGAGAGAGAGAGAGAGAGGAGAGAGAGAGAGAGAGAGAGGAGAGAGGAGAGAGAGAGAGAGAGAAAGAGAAAGAGAAAGAGAAAGGAGAGAGAGAGGGAGGAGAGAGGAGGAGAGAGAGAGAGAGAGGAGGAGAGGAGAGAGAGAGAAGAGAGAGAGAGAGGAGAGGGAGAGAGAGAGAGAGAGAGAGAGGGGAGAGAAAGAGAGAGAAGAGAGAGAAGAGAGAAAAAGAGAGAAAGAGGGAGAGAGAAAGAAAAAGAGAGCAAGTGTGTGTGTAAGAGAAAGAGTGAGAAAGAGAGGGAATGGGTAAGATGGAGAGGAAAAAAGAGCACGAGGAGGAAACCACGCACATCGGGAAGGACACGCGGAAGCGCCTCCTAAGATAAGGCGCTGGCCTAGCCATGTGGTAGGCAACACACGATCATGGGCTGCCCGATTCGGCACCAACACCTTATTGCAATGCCCTCTCCCCTCTCGACCCGAAACGCTGCAGGACCCGAACACGGATGGCCACTCGACCGGCACGACCCCTACGAATACGCCGTCACGGACAAGGACGTCACGATCATGCGAAGCCGACTGCGCCAGGCCCTGCATTGGTGGTGCTCGTGGTGCGATAGCAGTTTCATAATATCTAGTATTGCCAAAGGCTATTGGTTGCCCTGGAAGCACACAGCCCTGCCCTCCTTCGACGACAAGAACCATGCCGGCATTCACACGCACCTTGACTTCACTCGCGAAGCAATTCAAGAACTTGTTGCCACTGGCTTTGCCGTGCCAGTCCCCACGCGAGACACGCTGACCTGCGTTAGTCCTTTGAACGTCGTTGAGCAGCGTAACAAATGTTGCCTCATTCTCGACCTTCGCAAAGTCAACGCCCACCTCGAAATTCCAAAGTTCAAGTATGAAGGCTTGAATCGGGTAGCCGAACTCATCCGTCCCGGCGACTGGATGTTCTCCATCGACCTGAAGTCCGGCTATCACCACGTTGAGATGCACCCCTCCTCCTGGAAGTACTTGGGCTTCCAATTTGAGGGCGCGTACTACTCCTTCCGCTCGCTGCCGTTTGGTCTCGCCACCGCCCTGTTCGTTTTCACCCAGCTAATCAAACAGTTGGCAAAGCGGTGGAGGGCCAGCGGCCTACGCGTCGTCCCGTACGTCGACGACGTCCTATTCCTTTGCAACTCTCATACATACGCGCGCTCAGCATGCGCCGCAGTTACCCAAGACCTAAAGGCGACTAGTTTGTTATCAACGAGAAAAAATCGCACCTCCACCCCACTCGCCTGATCCACTTCCTCGGCCTGGAGGTCGATGCAGTTCGCGGCAAATTCTCTATCGGTCACGAACGACGAGCTCAGCTCCTATCCACACTCACCGACATCATCGCCCAGGGCCAAGCAGGACGACGAGTCCCCATCCGCTCCCTTGCGCGAGTCACTGGCATGCTGGCCTCCATGACCCTAGCATTGGGCGCCACAGCACGAGCCTTCAGTCATGAGCTCCTGCAACTCATCGCCGACGCCACGTCTTGGCATGACAAAGTCAAACTACCTCCGCCCGCATTAACAGAGCTACGCTTCTGGCTTTCGCATTTCGACCAATTCAAAGGCGCCCCATTCCATCTCAGTCACCAATACGACGCTGTCATCCACGTTGATGCAAGTGCCCACAGCTGGGGTGCCACCCTCACTCAACTGCCTAGCACGCACATTGAGGCCAGCGATCGCATGCCAAAAGAGCTCATGCCCACCTCCAGCACTCGAAGGGAACTTGAAGGCGTCCTTTGGGCACTCCGGACATTCACCACCCACCTCGTCAAGCGTCACGTGCTCGTTCGCGTCGACAACCAAGGGGTGGTGTTCATCCTTCGTAAGGGCGGCTCACGCCACCCCTCACTCACGCTGCTATGTCAAGCGATCATCAGACTGTGCTTGGAAAACCGGACACGGCTCGCTGTCGAATGGATTCCGTGAGAATTGAATGCCACGTGGATGAGCTCTCGAAAGTCCAAGAATACGACGACTACTCTCTTCAAACCCCTTGGTTCGGGCTCTTGGATTGTTGACTTGGACCTCAATTCATCGATCTTTTTGCCAACGTACGCAATGCCCAGCTGCAGCGTTTCTGTTCCAAGATCCCCCATCCTGAGGCAACAGCGATTGACGCTTTCTCACTCGATTGGCAGCACGAGTACGGCTTCGCATTTCCCCCACCTGTTGTGTGATGTCATCATATGCTATCACATTCTGTCTGCCTCCCATCCCATGTTTTTTCAACTTGCATGTGTGGTTTGAATGTGCAAGAATTTGTGTGTGATGTGTTCTGGAGTTTGGGAATGTGTTTTGTGTTATTTTGTTTGAGCAGGTTTTTTGTGATGATAGATCTTGAGAAGATCTTTCCGACGCAACGAGAATCCCTTCAATCGGAGCAAGAACGCGAAAGCTATGAAGATTCAAAGTTCATGAGCTTGCGTTACAATTGCGGCGGTTACAAAGTGAAGTTGTGGGGTGACTCTATATGGAGTTGGGACCTTTGGGGGTTTGGGAAATTTGTCACTCACTGTAACAGCTGCAAATTGGTTGGGAACAACCAAGCTAGGTTGGCAAGGGTGGCCAACTTGGATGGATTGGTTGGGAAGGGACAAATGTCAAAGTTGGGGTTCCTATAGGGAGGGAATCTTTGTGCTTATGGGGTTTTCCTTGGTTGGGGACTCTCTTGGGACCTTCCCTCTCATCCCTCTCTTCCTATCCCAACCTTTCTCTTGCTCCTTCTAATTCCTTGTGAGATTCTTGAACTTTGATTGAACTCTTGAGATTGAGTTAAGTTCTCCTCCTACAGCTTACCCCCTAGTGCGTCGAAAGCCATAGCGTCGCGAATACTTCATCAATCAACGTGATTCAAATTGGGAACGGTAGCTGAGATTAAGAGCTACAACATATCCAAGTTTCGCGACATTCCAACGGCTAGGTTTTTGTCGACGTCGTTTCTTGTGAAGACGACTTTTCTGTCCAGAATTTCGGATTTATATTTTGAGTAATTCTAGCTCCTAAGTTCACCTAGACTCTGTCCTTAATCCTAACAAGTGGTATCAGAGCGATATTAAGGACATTGAGAGGAGTCTACAGAAGTGTGAAGACCCTTCTAGACCCACCATGGCCTGTGGGTGTGCCTAAGTGGTGTTCTAAAGGTTGGATGTGTCTTCCGCTAAGGGGAAACTCTGCCGAAATTTCGTGGACGCCGACACTTGTGAAAATATCGAGGGAGCTGAGTGTGGACAGCAAAGGGGAGCTGAAATTCGTCATTTCTCAAGGAGAAGATGAATGAGAGAGGAGGAGATGCTAATGGAAGAGGAGCTGTAGCTGAGAAGACAAGTGAGCCGCCGCCATCAAAAGTTGAAGCTTTGGATGGCTCCAACTATGAGGAATGGAGCGGACGGATGAGGAGTGCCTTCAAACGCTACAAGCTACTGAAGATTGCTGTTGGGGAAGAGAAGATGCCGGAAGAAGGCGAAGCACGTGAACGGTGGATTGAGAAAAGCACGGTGCTTTTCGACCTCATCCTTCAATCGGTCAACAAGGAGATGTTCGAGCACATCAAGGATCTTGTGGAAGCGGATGATTCGGGTCCAAGGGCGTGGAAACTACTACGCGATGTGATTCAGCCCAACACTCTCCTGATGGTGATCGTGCTCGAGAAGGAACTTGCTGCCATCTCCATGCGACCAGGGGACGATGTGAAGCCGGTCCTTGACAAGATCAAGGACACCTATGCAAGGATGGCAGCAGCGGGCAGCAGTGTATCTCAGCTGCAGCAGTGCACCAAGATCATCTCGGTGTTGGACAACTCTTGGGACAACCTCATCCCCACCCTCAACTCTCAGCAAGATCAATGGACACCTGAGTGGCTAAGGCAGCAGATTCTGCAGGAGGACTTCCGCAGACGCCATGTGGGAGGCGGTGCTGCCACTAAGACTGCTGAGGGGTATGGAGCTGCAGGGCGCAGCAGAGGAAGAGGGGGTTGGAGAGGCCGAGGCCGTGGGAGAAGCTTTGGCAGAGGTAGAGGCCGAGGTGACTATAATGAGGGGCATGGGAGCTCCAGTGGCAGGGGGAGTACCAGAATGGAGGGCACCTGCTGGTACTGCAAGAAGGTCGGGCATCCTTGGTTCAAGTGCTTCAGCAGGCTGGAGGGATGGTCACCTCCAGGCATGAAGCCGCCAAGTGGTGAACGCGCACAAGGTGGCGCTGTGCAAGGCTCAGGTGCACAAGGTGAAGGTGCACAAGGTAACGCCTATCCTGGGATGTATCTCATGGTTGAGGATGTGCATGGGCATGAGGGTGATGTGGGATCTGTCGGAAAGGTTGTGATGCACCCTCTCACGCACTGGGTGATTGATTCGGGTTGCACCAGTCACATGACTCCACGGGCAGATTTGCTTGATGAGGTAAAACCCCCTGGGAAGATTAAGTATGTGGCAGCAGCGTCAGGTGCTTTGCTCCCCGTGATTGGTGTTGGGAATGCCAAGGTTAAGGGAGCTAATGGGGAGCTTGTGGGGCTTGGGAATGTTCTGCTGGTTAAAGGCTTGTCTGCTAACCTTCTCTCTGTGCGGCGACTGCAGAAGAGTAAGGCCGAAGTGACCTTTGGACCAACCAGCTGCCGTGCTAAGCTTGGGAAGAAGGTGCTGTGGAGTCTGGAAGAGGAGACCAGCTGCATCAAGGACCTGTGGCAGCTGCCCATCATCCCATGGAATGGGAAGACTCCAACAGCAGCAACGGCAGCAGCGGCAAAGGCAACAGCAGGAGGAGATGCAACTGCACCAACTGATGGGGTCCTGGAAGCAGTCAAGAAAGTGCAGCAGCAGCAGACACATGGTGAGGTGCTTGCTGGTGTGGATGCGAGTGCGGCATGGGCTAAGGCTTCACCAAGGAGTGGAGAGGCCGATTGGGAGACATGGCATGAGAGGCTGTGTCATGTGAACTTCCCTATGCTGCAGAAGTTGGTGAAGGATGGGAGCCTGAAGGGCTTGGAGGTGAAAGGGGGAGTGAAGGAGATTGGGAGCTGCCCTACATGCTTGGAGACCAAGTTCTCCAAGTTCCCCTTCAACAGCACTACAGGACCAGCCAAGACCCCACTTGCACTTGTGCATATGGATGTGGTGGGGCCCACAAGAGCCCCTTCCCTCTCAGGCAGCCGCTATTTCTTGACAATTGTGGATGACCACACTCGGGCAGTGTGGGTTTACCCTTTGAAGAGCAAGGGGGAGGTGGCAGCGGCTGTCCTTAAGGAGTGGATGCCGAGAGCTCAGAGGGAATGCGGACACAAGGTGAAGGTGATCCGTAGTGACAATGGTGGGGAGTTCATTGGAGCTGATTTTGAGGGGGAGTTGAAGAGGAAGGGGATCCAGCATCAACTGACAGTGCCCTACAACCCGCAGCAGAATGGCGTGGCTGAGAGGTTCAACAGGACCCTGCAGGAGGGGGCACGCACTCTCCTTGGGCGTGCAGGGCTACCTGATCCGTTTTGGGTGTCTGCACTGAGGCAGGTCGCCCTTGTGAAGAATAGAGTGCTGGCTACAGTTGGGGATAAGGAGTGGATCCCATATACCAAGTGGTATGGGAGTGCTCCAGCTGTGAATATGCTGAGGGCATTTGGGTGCATGGTAGTGTTTCATGTGCCTAAGGAGAAAAGAGGGAAGTTGGAGGCTTCTGGAAGATGGGGTGTGCACTTGGGGATTGCAAAGGATCACAAGGGATGGCTTCTATGGGACTTGACCATCCAGAAGCTGACAGTGTCAAGGGATGTGAAGTTTCTTGAGTCCCTGTACTATAAGGAATGGAAGCAGCAGCAACAGAAGCTTCCATCTACACCACTCATTGTGGAGGCAGATGAGTTGCAGCAGCCTTCAAGGCAGGTGGAGGTTGCAGTGTCTGAGGAGGAGATATCTGGGGTGACTGAAGAAGGGGGAGCAGCTGAAGTGGAGCAGCAACAGCAACATGAGTCTCCACCTCGAGTTCCACACCCGCCTGAGCGACCTAGGAGGGATGTGCGCCCTCCTGTGAGGCTGACCTATGGGGGAAGAGGCAAGCCAAATGTGGTGCAGGCTGGGAGTGTGGTTGAGCAGATTGAGGAAGATGAGATCGCTCACTGCTACTGGGGCACCAATCCCTGAGCCCAAGACTCGAGAGGAGGCCTTGAATGGACCAAATGGGGAGAAGTGGAAGGCGAGTGAGGATGAGGAGTTCGGGTCCCTAATTGAGAACGAGACATGGGACCTGTGTGACTTGCCTCCTGGAAAGAAGGCAATCACTTCCAAGATGATCTACAGGCACAAGTATGGACCTGAAGGGGAGCTGACCCGCTACAAGTCTAGGCTTGTGGCACGGGGGTTTCAGCAGACAAAGGGGAAGGACTATGATGAGGTGTTTGCTCCTGTGGGGAAAGGAACAACACTGAGGGTGCTGTTGGCGATAGCTGCACTCCTGGGATGGAAGATACGGCAGATGGACATTGTGACTGCCTTTCTGAATGGGATCATTCTGGAGGAGGTGTACATGAAACAGCCAGAGGGGCTGGATGACGGGAGCGGCAGGGTCTGCAGGCTGAAGAAGGCCATCTATGGCCTTAAGCAGGCGCCTCGTGCATGGTATCACAAGTTGGAGGAGGCGCTGTTGGCTGGGGGTTTCAAGAAGAGTGAGTGTGACCCCAGCCTGTTCCTGCTGCAGGAGAAGGACGAAATCCTCATGCTCTTGGTGTATATGGATGATATCCTTCTCTTTTCTGCATCCACTGCTTTGCTGGACAGCGCAGAGCAGATGCTGGAGATGCAGTTCAAGTGCTCCAAGATGGGTGAGGTGAAGTACTACTTGGGGATGCACGTGGAGAGAGATGTGGAAAAGGGTGTGCTGAGGTTGCACCAGAGGAAGTACTGTGAGGGGCTGGCTGAGAAGTATGGGCTGCAAGATGGGGGAAAGCCAGCAACACCACTACCTTCAGGGTTTACTGTGGAGCCATGTGCTGATGAGGAGGTAGTGGGTGAGAGTGACAGGAAGCTGTTTCATTCGATGGTTGGGTCGCTGAATTATGCTGCAAATCATACACGGCCTGACATTGCATTTTCTACATCACGGTTGGCTAGTGTGGTCTCACGCCCTAGTCATGAGCAGCTGGAAGCGGCCAAGAGGTTGGTCCGCTATGTGAGTGCTACGGCATCAGTGGGATTGGAGTACAGTGGAGTGAGGCAGCGGTTGCAGAGAGGTGCTGCAGATGTGAAGAGTGGAAAGATGCTCTTGAGTTGCTATACTGACGCTAGCTTCAACTCAGTGAAAGCGGATGGCACCAGCATTGGGGGTTATGTGTGCTTGCTAGGAGGTGGTGCTGTGAGCTGGCGCAGCAAGAAGCAGAATGAGGTGGGATTGTCTTCATGTGAGACTGAGTACATGGCCTTACACCATGGGGCCAAGGAAGTGGTATGGCTGAGGCGTTTGTTGGAGGAGTTGGGAGTTGGTCAGGAGGAGCCGACAGTTGTGTTCTGTGACAATGAGTCTGCAGTGAAGCTGGCCAAGAATGCTTGTCTGCATGGGCTGACAAAACACATAAGGCCTAAGTGGCATTGGGTGAGGAGAATCCTTGATAAGGAGGTGCGGCTGGAGATAGTGAAGACCCATCAGCAGGCAGCAGATATTTTCACTAAGCGTCTTGCGGAGGCGGATCATTGGAAGGGCATGAAGCTTGCTGGGATGAGTGTGCATTGAGTATGCATGCTTGAGATGTGGTATGGTCGATGATGGTTGGCAGCCAGAGGGGGAGATTGTTGTGTGATGTCATCATATGCTATCACATTCTGTCTGCCTCCCATCCCATGTTTTTTCAACTTGCATGTGTGGTTTGAATGTGCAAGAATTTGTGTGTGATGTGTTCTGGAGTTTGGGAATGTGTTTTGTGTTATTTTGTTTGAGCAGGTTTTTTGTGATGATAGATCTTGAGAAGATCTTTCCGACGCAACGAGAATCCCTTCAATCGGAGCAAGAACGCGAAAGCTATGAAGATTCAAAGTTCATGAGCTTGCGTTACAATTGCGGCGGTTACAAAGTGAAGTTGTGGGGTGACTCTATATGGAGTTGGGACCTTTGGGGGTTTGGGAAATTTGTCACTCACTGTAACAGCTGCAAATTGGTTGGGAACAACCAAGCTAGGTTGGCAAGGGTGGCCAACTTGGATGGATTGGTTGGGAAGGGACAAATGTCAAAGTTGGGGTTCCTATAGGGAGGGAATCTTTGTGCTTATGGGGTTTTCCTTGGTTGGGGACTCTCTTGGGACCTTCCCTCTCATCCCTCTCTTCCTATCCCAACCTTTCTCTTGCTCCTTCTAATTCCTTGTGAGATTCTTGAACTTTGATTGAACTCTTGAGATTGAGTTAAGTTCTCCTCCTACAGCTTACCCCCTAGTGCGTCGAAAGCCATAGCGTCGCGAATACTTCATCAATCAACGTGATTCAAATTGGGAACGGTAGCTGAGATTAAGAGCTACAACATATCCAAGTTTCGCGACATTCCAACGGCTAGGTTTTTGTCGACGTCGTTTCTTGTGAAGACGACTTTTCTGTCCAGAATTTCGGATTTATATTTTGAGTAATTCTAGCTCCTAAGTTCACCTAGACTCTGTCCTTAATCCTAACACCACCCCACCTCATTCCAGCCACCCTGCGACACGCCCAACGCACACGCGCTGAGCTAACATTGGTCATCCCCGAATGGCCCGGCGCATCATGGTGGCCACTCCTCCAGCTAGCACCCCGTGTGTGGGCGCCGGAGATAGTAGCCCATATCCCACTCACCCATGGCACCCAATGTCTCCGCCCTGGCACACACTCGCTCGCTTTCACCGGCCAAGGCCTGCCTCATAGCCAGATGATTGCCTTGCATGTAACCTACAAGATATAACTCCTCCGTGTATGGTGTATATTTTCAGGCATGCTGTCCAAGTTAAAGACACAATTACTGCGCATAACCACCCACGTCCGGGCGCCCTCCACTATCAAGACCTGTGACCCGTACTGGCAGAAATTTCACTCATTCTGCGCGAAATTCAAGCTCGGCTATCTGCCAGCCACGGACACGACCCTGGCTCTCTATCTTGTTCACGCGCTCAATCACCAAGCAACCGACTCTGCCATATCCCTCACATGCTCCGCCATCTCTTTCGCACACCGGATGACTGGCGAACCCTCCCCCACGAACGGCCCTTTCACGGTTTAAGTATGCGAATTTGCCAAGCGCCATGGGGCACGCCCCACAAGGAATAAGGAACCCTTGTCGCTCCACCAAGTCCATACTATGGCCCGTCCCTTCCTCGAATCAACTAACCCAGCCATATACCAGAAGGGTCTCATCCCGCTGCTCATGTTCGCAGCATTCCTACGCTACTCGGACCTCGTCAGCATCCAGTGGAATGACATACAGTTTGAGGACACGGCAATGTGGGTCCTGATCCCACACTCCAAGACGGATCAGGAAGGCAAAGGCACCTGGGTCCCCATTGCCGCCACAACCACACCCTATTGCCCCGTCAGCTGCACGCGGCACATCATTCACCTTGCAGGCCACACCGCCACCCCACACGGGCCTCTGATTCGCGTCTTCGCGACCAGAGGCAAGGCCACCCCATGGGACGTCGCACCTTCATACACAACCATTCGGAATTGGTGTCTGGAAGCCTTTGCCGCAGCAAGCCTCGACACCCACTCTTTCCGCAAGGGCACCGCGACCGCAGCGGCCAGCCTGGGGATACCTAACAGGCTTTTCAAGCGTCTAGGCCGATGGCGCAGCGACAGTGCGAAGGAGCTATACGTCATTATCGCGCAAGACCACCTTCTTGCAGCCTCCACGCAGCTTCAAGATCCATCCGCAGCCCCATCGCCCAACAACCACCAGCTGTCCATCGAGCGGCAATGCCGACCCGTCCTCCACATGCCTCAGAAGACCCATATGAAATGAAGCACGCTGCCTTTCAAGAGGACCTAAGCAAGCTTTCACAATATGTATTTTTTTGAAAGCGTATAGCGCTTTCTAAAAATGTGTATTGTGATAGTGTAGCAAGGGCCAACGCAGCAAAGGCAGCGGCGAAGCGCACCTAACCCTCTTTTGCATTCAAAAGAGGAACGTGAGGCCTCTCGGCCTCACCCACGTTCTTCATTTCTAGTTCAACTCATTTGAGTTTCCCCGCCCACCCACCCTAGCTATGTGTTGAGTAGTTTATTGGACAAGAACCAATGTATGTCCCCCATATGAAATGAAGCACGCTGCCATATGAAATGAAGCACGCTGCCTTTCAAGAGGACCTAAGCAAGCTTTCACAATAGGACGATTCCATAGTAGGAGAGGGGGCAGGCGGACCCATCTTGGATTGACCTAATTTTGGCATAAGTGCACTGTTGTACATAATTACTCTTCAGCAGCAGGGGCAGCATCAGCAGTGGGCAGGCTGACGACCACCGCGCTGACGTCATCTGTGGATCCCCTCAACTGCGCCGGGCCCACCAGCTCTGCTGCCCCCGTGTCTTGCTGTGCACCAGGTCTGTCAGGGTGACGGGGAGAATCCAAGGCCCAGGGCAAGAGCATATGAGGCAGCGGGCAATAAGGGCTAACTCCTACCGCCTCGCGTCAGACTAACCTCTCGTTAGACTCGTCAATTTTGCTTGAACCGCTGCTCAGACTCACCACCCTTGCATCAGACTTGGGTACACGTGCCAAGCGTCGCAAAATTTGTTCGCGATGCCACGTGCGTACGTTTCACTCGCAAATAACGGTTCACTCAAACCTGCACCACGTAACCTGTCGAAATGATTTTTGCGCTTTCGCAGATTCAATTCGTGAATTCGCTGATGCGGCGAATCTCCGCTGTAGTCCGCCGCTTGTTAACTAGAATGAATAATTAGAAACAAGGGAGAACAAGAGAGTTATAGTGTTGGAGTTGTACCCTCTAACAACATATATCTATTTAGCCTATAACTTGTACATATCAACATATGTATAAGTTGACACCGCTTTCTATTGGTTTGATTCTGTACTTTCCTGCACGTGCGAGATACGTCGGCGCTGAGGTGCCAACCAGGGCAATTTGATCGCCGTGACTAATCTCTTGTTGGTTGCATTAACTCTTTTTTTGTTTTTTTTTTTGTTTTTTTCACAAAACAACGATTCGCAAGCGCGTGCTACATGGTCTGACGTGAGTAGGGCCTCAGATATCAGGATGTTTTATTATGAATTCCCAATTTTCAGGATGAGTATGAGGTGCCAGACCTGAAAAATCTAATTACAGGATTTTTTGACCCTATAAATTCTGTATGGTTATCATATGGTAACCCTGACAACTCAGTACAGTGTTCGTGTACCAGCCCTGAGTGCTCAGTATGAATTCGGGGATAACCCTGATACCTCGAATTTGGCTTCAGGGGGGGCGCTACGGGTGTACCCCCTGTTTACTGCCCATAGTTCCATAAATTTCGTTCCAGCGCACATTTTTCCTGTAGATTGCTGCCGCGAAATGACCAGTTTGCCACGTGCACTGCAAATCCCGAAATTCTGGCCAATATTGGCTAAGTATAGCACCACGAGAAACATGGCCTCTGAAGGTGTTGGCGTGCTGCTGTCCACTCGCTGAAGCAGCATTGCATGCAGTGATGTTTGGACGGCCAACCACTCCATGGGGGGAGGACCAAATTCCCGCGTCTCTACAGAACAACCATCGCCGATGGTCCTTCCTCCTCACAGCTCCCTTTCATGCCTTGGTTGAACTTGAATCATCCAACCATTCCATGTTGGTCTGTTTCTCTGCTGTGAACCGCCCCCTCGTTAGGGGGCACTATGCTTGCGTCAGGAACTGATGACGAGGAGGAGGCTCCCGACGATCCTTCTACAGCGTCCCACCCTGGTGGCATGATGGGATTAGACTTACTGCGAAGAAATCCCCCCGCATCGGCACCTCCCCCTCGAACGCACACCGCAAAAGTAGTAGAGGAGGCATCTCGCCCTGCTGTAGCTACACCACCTAAGCGAAGCACTACGCCCCACACTTCTCTGAATCAAGGGTCGACCCGTATTGGAATGCTGTCAAAGAAGCTCGAGCCCTTACGCTATCGGCAGCCAACCCTGAGTTTCGGGCGGTCGCGAAACACTCCCCCTCCGACTCTGCATGTCGTCCCTCCCGTTGTTCCAGGACCATCTGCGGCTCCGACTTCGTCATCGGACACCGAACTTGAAGACGTGGCTGAACGAAAGTACTAGGAGGCTCTCTGGCAATTTAAGAAGCGGTGGAGTACTGACTTTCCTTGGCTTGTGCTTAATCAGACCCGTGCAGGATTCCCGTTTTTGAAGTGTAAGATTTGCATGGAACATGGCGGGGCCGGAACGAACTACGGCAAGGGCGGAGAAGGTGCGACCGACGTCCAGACGCAGGCGATGCAGAACCACCTGTGGAAGCGAAAGCACAAGAGAGCGATGTGGAGACAAGCCACCACCACTGCGATCGCTGAGGGGCAGCTGCGCTTGGAGGACTTGCCGAAAACACATACCGTCCAGCGCAAGCGTGTTACTGCACTGCTGGAGACTCTGATTTTCATCTGCCAGTCCGACGCGCCCATCGAGATGTGGGTGCAACTCGTGCGGCACCTCTCAAAGCAATGTACTCCTGGTTTTTCCAAACGAGGCTACGTGTCTTACTTCACAACGTAAGTCCTTGGGTGTTGTATTCGTTTACTATTGAACATGTGTTGATCTCGCGCATGGTCTAAACTCCCTGCATGGTTTGCGCAGATATGGCTTCCAGGAGTTAACCAAGTCAACAGCCATCTACCTACGAGCTCGTCAACGGGAGTACTTGGAGTCAAGCCCGTTCATTGGCTTGAGCTGTGACGAGAGTACCGACAGAGTTCGTGGCAAACACATGATTGTGTTCGCTACTTTCCTCCGCGAGCGTGTGGTTGTCACAGAGTTTCTAACGCTTCTTCCTGTCGACAAATGTGATGCAGCTTCTCTGGAAGGCTCTCTTGTCGCTTACCTCGATAACATCGGCATCAGTCTCTCGAAGGTGTCGGGCATCAGAACCGACGGTGACGCAGTGATGGTTGGAGCCACGAACGGGGTCGTTGGGCGCCTTTGACAGTGGATCGCGCATGTGGTTTCTGTCCATTGCATAGCGCATCGGTTCGTTCATGCATAGACTTCATATCCCATTTAGAAAACCATGCACTAACCACTGTTTCGTCGTGTTTCTACTCCCGCCCATACCAGGGAAGCCCTCGCTGCCAGAGATGCTGCCAACGCGCTGCCCGAGCTGGGAATTATGGATGCCATCATCCGCGTGGTTGCTGAGCTGCTGGGGCGTTCACACAACTGGCACAAGATGTTCAAGGAGCTCCAGAAGATCTTCACAGCGACAAATCTGGAGATGCAAGGGAATCACCTTGTTCGGTGGCTCAGTCGTGGCGGTACCATTCTGAGGCTGGTGGCGGTGCTTCCTGCCGTCATTGTTCTACTGCACCTCTACGACAAACCCACGTACCACATCGTCACATCGTACAAGTTTCACTTCTTCCTGTACTTCCTCGCCAACGTGCATGAGGAGCTCAACAGCCTCAATCTGCTGTTCCAGTAGCGTGAGGTGAGCCACTGCGGTTGCAATGGT